CTACCCTGAGGCTGCCTTGTAGAGGGACTGCATTTAAAGTGAGAGATTCCTGAGAAGCCCCAGTCATCCAGCCCCAAGCAGTGTGAACCTTCTAGTCTAGACCCCAGCATTTGAGCTGACCTCAGCCCCAGCCACCCTGAGTGAGAACTGCCTAGCTTAGTCCCCGTCAACCCTCACATTTCATGAACAAAATAAATGATTGTTGTTGTCTTAAGACCACTGTTTGGGGATGGTTTCTTATCATGCAATAGATAGTTGATGCAGACTTTTCTACAACCTGGAAATGGAATGCTGCCATCACAGAACCTAAGTCATGTGGCTTTAGGACTGGGAGATGGGCAGAGATTGTAAGGACTTTGAGGATATTGTCGATGGAAGTCTGGTAGTTCTCAAGGAAGCAGCTGATGAGGGCTTGAAGGAAAGTAAGAAAATGTTATTGGAAGCAGAAGGAAAGGGACAAACCCTTATTATGTAGTGGAAGAAAGTTAGCAACATTGTCACTTGAAGCTATGTGAGCAATAGAAAATGTGCCTAATGAAGGCCAGACATGGTGGCTCACACCTGTAATCCCAGCACTTTGGGAGGCTGAGATGGGCAGATCACATGAGGTCAGTAGTTTGAGACCAGCCTGGCCAACACAGTGAAATGCCTTCTTTACTAAAAATACAAAAATTAGCTGGGCTTGGTGGCTCATGCCTGTAATCCCAACTACTTGGAAGGCTAAGGCTGCAGAATTGCTTGAGCCCAGGGGGCAGAGGTTGCAGTGGGCTGAGACTGTGCCACTGTCCTCCAGCCTGGGTGACAGAGTGAGATTCTGTCTCAAAAAAAAGAAAAAAGAAGAAGAAAATATGCCTAATGAACTAATGGTTTGGGCTAAAACAATTTTTAAGCAGACTGTTGAAAATGCTAGTTGGATTAGAAAATGCTAGTTGGGCTGGGCGTGGTGGCTCACACCTGTAATCCCAGCACTTTGGGAGGCCGAGGCAGGTAGATCACCTGAGGTTAGAAGTTCAAGACCAGCCTGGTCAATATGGTGAAACCTCGTCTCTACTAAATGTACAAAAATTAGCTGGGCGTGGTGGCGGGCACCTATAATCCCAGCTACTCAGGAGGCTGAGTCAGGAGAATCACTTGAACCCGGGAGGCAGAGGTTGCAGTGAGCCGAGATCATGCCATTGCGCTCCAGCCTGGGCAATAAGAGCGAAACTTCATTCCAAAAAAAAAAGAAGAAAAGACAATGCTAGTTGGATTATTTTAGCTGTATATGATAAAGACAGAGAAAGATGAGTTAAAAGGAAGCTTTAACTTTCAAGCAAAATTTATAAAATATATAAAGGAGTCAGGGGCTTGCTGGGTTTGAAAATAAATCTGGTTCTCATTCTCAGCCTCCCAGATGGCAAAAGGTTCTCAAAGTATGAAAGGGCTTCAGGACAAAGATAAAATCCAGAGTGGGACTACAAGAACCTTTGTTAAAATCTCAGAAATATCTAAGGCTTCATAAAATATTTTGAATAGACAAAGGCCCTCTAAGTATTTCAAGAGTGTGCCTCAGTGCTCGCTTCAGCAGCACATATACTAAAATTGGAACAATACAGAAAAGGTTAGCATGGCCCCTGTGCAAGGATGACATGCAAATTCATGAAGCATTTCCTATTAAAATAAAAACAAATTAAAAATAAAATAAAAAAGAGTGTGCCTCACAGATCCTCTTCATTAAACAACAGGGCTTCTAAGTATCCTAAGTAAATTGTTTTACATCAGCCTCACAAGAAGAATGTAGAGAATGTTTTCTTGATGAAATGTGTGGTTATAGCTTTTGACTAATAGGGTGAGCCCCAGTAAGATTCACGGGAAACCCACACAGTTTTTAATATAATTATTTTGTCAGAAGCACCACCAGCTTGGGCAAAAAGGGTCAGAATAGTATGAAATGAAAAAAGGCTTTTGGATCCCCAAAATTCTATAGGAAGGAAACAGGCTGAAAACTACTCAGTTGGAAACACCAGATGTATTAGTCTGTTTTCACACTGCTGATAAAGACATACCTGAGACTGGGCAATTTACATAAGAAAGAGGTTTAATTGGACTTATAGTTCCACATGGCTGGGGAAGCCTCCCAATCATGGCAGAAGGCAATGAGGAGCAAGTCACATCTTACATGGATGGTGGCAGGCAAAGAGATGATGAGCTTGTGCAGGGAAACTTCTCTTTTTAAAACCATCAGATCTTGTGAGTCTTATTCACTATCACAAGAACAGCATGGGAAAGACTTGCCCCCAAGATTCAGTTACCTCCCACCAGGTCCCTCCCACAACATGTGGGAATTTAAGATGAGATTTGGGTGGGGACACAACCAAACCATATCACCAGCCATTTTTTATAGAGAAAGAAGGATGATTCAGAAGGTGGAACCAAGAATCTAGAGAACAGAGCCAAAAACCACAAAGAATCATTCCCAGGCAGTAGGACTGAACCTTAATCAAGAAATTGGCAATACAATATGAGCCTGAATGGATTTCAGAATTGCTATGGACCAGTCATGGCTGTGTGCCTCCTTTCCCCTCTCTTGAATAAGAGTGTTTATAGTGGCTACACTATGCCTATCTCATCATTGGATGTTCAGTGTGTAAATAGCAGATAACTTTTTTTTTTTTTTTTTGACACAGCGTTTCACTCTTGTTGCCCAGGCTGAAGTGCAAAGGTTTGATCTTGGCTCACTGTAACCCCCGCCTCTTGGGTTCAAGCGATTCTTCTCCTGCTGAGTAGCTGGGATTACAGGTGCCTGCCACCATGCCAAGCTAATTTTTATATTTTTAGTAGAGACAGAGTTTAACCATGTTGTCTAGGCTGGTCTTGAACTCCTGACCTCAGGTGATCTAACTGCCTTGGCCTCCCAAAGTGCTGGGATTACAGATGTGAGTCACTGCACCTGGTCCAGTAGCAGACAACCTGTCTCTTTAGTTCACAAGTCTCTGAATAAAGAGGAATAGTACTTAAGGAAATGTACCTGAGAAATTGCATCTGAGGAACTCCCTCCATACCTGGATGGTTTATATAATGGGACCCTAGACCTTTCTAGCCTAAATCTGATGCCATAATAGATGAGAGTTTGGGGGATCTTTGGAAAAGAATGAGTATATTTTGTATGTGAAAGGAATGTAAATAACTTATGTCCAGGTGATAGACTATGGTGGTTTTAAATATGGCTCAGATTGTTGACACATTTCCTATCAAGAAATGGAACTGTTTCTCCCTCCTGCTGTACCTGGGCAGGTCTTTTTGTTGTTGTTGTTGTTGCACTGAGTCTTTGTTTTTTTTTTTTTTTAAATACTTTAAGTTCTAGGGTACATGCACACAACGTGCAGGTTTGTTACATATGTATACATGTGCTGTGTTGGTGTGATGCACCCATTAACTCGTCCATTAGGTATATCTCCTACTGCTATCCCTCCTCCATCCCCCCACCCCACAACAGGCCCTGGTGTGTGATGTTCCCCACCTGGTGTCCGAGTGTTCTCATTGTTCAGTTCCCACCTATGAGTGAGAACATGCAGTGTTTGGTTTTCTGTCCTTGTGATAGTTTGCTCAGAATGATGGTTTCCAGCTTCATCCATGTCCCTACAAAGAACATGAACTCATCCTTTTTTATGGCTGCATAGTATTCCATGGTGTATATGTGCCACATTTTCTTAATCCAGTCTATCACTGACGGACATTTGGGTTGGTTCCAAGTCTTTGCTATTGTGAATAGTGTTGGGCAGGCCTTTTTAACTGCCTTAACAAACAGAATGAGGTATAAATGACACTGCATGGCTTCCAAGTTCTGGGTTAGGAAAAGTGACTCAGTTTCTGTCTCTCTGGATATGTGCCTTTGGATCACTGAGTGACCATGTAAAAAACTCCAGCAATAGCCGGGCAAGGTGGCTTACGCCTGTAATTTCAGCACTTTGGGAGGCCAAGGCGGGTGGCCTTGAGGCCTGAGGTCAGGAGTTCGAGACCAGCCTGGCCAACATGGAGAAACCCTATCTCTACTAAAAATACAAAAAAAAAATTAGCCAGGCGTGGTCGTGGGTGCCTGTAATCCCAGCTACTCAGGAGGTTGAGGCAGGAGAATTGCTTGAACCCAGGAGGCAGAGGTTGCAGTGAGCTGAGATTGCGTCATTGCATTCCAGCCTGGGCAACAAGAGCGAAACTCCGTTTCAAAAAAAAAAAGTCCAGCTATTTTGGGGCTACCATGTTGGAGAGCTCATGTGGAGAGCCACACAGGTAGAGAGATGCCTGAAAGACCCTGGCTTTTGCAGCCTCCGCTTGTTTGTGTCCTCCCAGCCCAGGCGCCAGACCTGTGAGTGAAGAAGCCTTGAAAGTGACCCCATCCTCAGTCACAGTCTGACTACAACATCATGAGACCCCAAGCCAGAACTTCCCAGCTGATCCAAATAAACCACGAATGATAATAAATGATTATTGTTGTTTTAAACCACTAAGTTTGGGGGTGGTTTGTTATTCAGCAATAGATAACCTATTTTCTAAGTGATCTAGAAAATAGGACAAACAATAATACCTACTTCAAAGGAGGGAAAATGAATAAGGAGTAAATCAGTAAAGCACTGAGCTCAGGGTCTGGTATGCAGTAAACTCTCAATGAATGTTATTTACCCTTTACAGAGCTTCTCAGTGGCTGGTATCCTGAATGATAGTGAGTCAAACAAAAGTGGTGTTTACTTTAACTATACTCTATTTAAGAAGTGACTATGTGCCTGACAGTGAGTGTCTGTTGAATAAATGAAAAAAGAAAATGATTTGCTGTTTTGCGGGGTGGTAGCTACTCTCCAAAGATGGCCCTGGAGGATATTCATTCCCTTGTAGGGTTCGCTCCCGTGCTGAATCTGGTCCAGGCTTGTAACTCACCTTAAGCAGGAAGATATGGCCAAAGTGGTGCCATGCCATTGCCAGGCCTAAGCTTTAATAAGACTTGGTGACTTCCACTTTATTACTTCTAGGAGCTGTGATGTAAGAAGTCTGCATACCCTCTTGGAGAAATCCACATGGAGAGGAGATGTGGAAAAGCCACATGGAGAAGGAGGGGCCCATAGAGGACAGAAAGAGAGAAGGAATCCCAGCAATGCACTAGTCCCAGCCGAGCCCAGCCCTTCGGGTCCTTTCCAGGGTGCCCGACATATAAGGCCACCATCTTGACTCAGCCAGCCCAGTCTAGCTCCCAGATGACTTCAGTTCCAGCTGCCATCTGGCTGCAGCAGCATAAAAGTCCCTCAGTGAGATCAGTGGAAGAACTGCCCAGCCAACTTATAAAGTTGTGAGAGATAATAAATGTTTGTTGTCCATTTTAAGCCACTGCATTTTAGAGTGGTTTGATACATACAGGTAGATAACCAAAAAGTAAGTGCCTAGGACAGCGCCTGCCATACAGCAGGCATTCAATAAATATTGACTGACTAAATGAATGAACCTCTTCGTTCTCTTGCTGTCAAACCTTTTCTGCCTGGGTCTGGGCCTCCTGAGACGCCCTCCTTACCTGCTGCTCACCCCTCCTCTTCTGCCTTGCCCATGTTCCCCATGGAATAGGGGACTAAAGTAAAATGGGTGCTCCTGTTGGGCTCCCAAGTGCACAAAACCCTGAAACAGGTCTCCCTTGTGAGGAAATTCCAGGCTGTAGATCTCTAGATATAATGGAGGCAGGTCCCTTTACGTTTGTTAAGAGAAAAGAGAAGAGAGAATCTGTTCTGGCTCTCTCTGGGGTTTGAATTCCAGCCTCTCCAAGTCCTGACTGTGTGGCAATGAACTGCTGATTCAACCAACTTCCTTATCCGGAAAATGGGTTCAATATCAAGGCCTCAGTGTAAAAAAGTAACCATGACGTCCTTGGTACAGCACCTGGAGTGTGGGACGTGCCATGGGGCCATTAGTGTGTCTGCAACGTGGATGAATCTCATAGACAGGATGAACTAGGTAAGCTGGTCATGAAAGCACATACTGTTGGTGATTCCATTTCAATGAGGTTCAAAAAGAGGCAAAATTAATTGATGGTGAGAGAAGTTCAAAATCATGGTCACCACTGAGGGGGATGAATATTGACTGGGAAGGGGATCCAAGGAATGTTCTGGGGTATTTGCAATGTTCTACATTTCATCCAGGTGTGTGTATATATGAAAGTTCATCAGGTCACACCATTAAGATGAATGTGTTTTATTGAGTGTGTTATATCTCCCTAAAGAAGTTGAAAAAATGTTTGCTGTCTTCCCTTCATGCAGGAGTGATCTTCAGGAATTCTCCAATTCTAGGGCCTCTTGCTCCTCGTGGGCTGCCTGTCCTGCCCCCTCACCACAAGTCTGCCCTAGAGCAGCCTCGGCAATGATATCTTCCTGCATTGCATGAATTGGCTGGCCCTGCCCAGCCTGGCCTGGGGATCATGTTGAGGGATGCATTAACCTGCTCCTGAGAGGGCAGGGTAGCTGGGCTGGGGGTCCTCGATGCCTCTGGGGGCTGATGAGTGGGAAGGAGGTCTCACCTCTATACACAGGGGTGTCTGGCTGTGTTGGAGGCCAGGGGTGTTTGGAATAAGCAAACAACAACGGCACATCCTTGGCATGACGGGCCTGGTTCCTGGAAGGCGAGCAGGGAGGGGTGCTGCTGAGGGTGTCCAGGCTGGGCTGAAATGAAGAGCTTGTCCTGCTCACAACCCTGCTATTTGGAACCTGGAGCCATGACGTCCCTCAGAGTTTCCATTCTCTGTGCTGCAGCTGTTGGTTACGTGTTTCATTCAAAATGCTTTGCAGGAAGCAGCAGGTTTTACATTCCAGGGTTTGTAGTCATTTTTTCTCTCAGAGCTCTCGGGCTGGGATTAGAATGTTCTTCAAACCACACTGTCCTCGGCTGGACTCCCAAGAGGAAGTGGGTGGGGCTCTGGGGAAAGAGAACATAGGCCTAAATTCAGGGACGAAATGAAAAAAGATTGGCCAGGCGCGGTGGCTCACGCCTGTAATCCCAGCACTTTGGGAGACTGAGGTGGGCGGATTACCTGAGGTCAGGAGTTGGAGATCAGACTGGCCAACATGGTGAAACCCTGTCTCTACTAAAAATACAAAAAGTAGCTGGATGTGGTGGTGGGCACCTGTAATCCCAGCTGCTTGAGAGGCGGAGGCAGGAGAATCGCTTGAACCTGGGAGGAGGAGGTTGCAGTGAACTGAGATTGCACCACTGTATTCCAGACAGAGCAAGACTCCATTTCAAAAAGAAAAAGAAAAAGAAAAAAAGATTAAGGCCAGCACAACTAACTCCTAGAGGGTTCAGCTGAGTTGAGGCCCAGGTATGGTGAGGGGTAGAAAGGTGGTGGGTGGTGGCTCTTGCCCTCCCCAGCCTTAGGCCAAGGAGAACGCAGAGCCTCTGGTGTGTGCGTGCACGTATGCGTGTGTGGTGGGGGCAGGGGGGTGTGAGGCAGAACAGCGTCAGTGCTGGCCTTTTATCCTGATGGACACGCTCATGCAGCCTCTGTCTGTGGTCACTGCCCTTGGGCTGAGGGAGAGAGTGACACAGGTGTCACTTGCTGAGGGGACAGTGGGTGACGTATGCTCAGGTTTGGGGCAGGCAGGGGAGTACATTAGCACATGGACCACATAGATACGTGGATCCAGACAAACAATGACGAACGTTTGCTAGAGTGTCTGCTATGCTCCTAGCACCAGGCTGGGTGTGGGAATAATATCACAGGTACAAGACAGACTCCATGGCTGCCATCACAGGAAAGCCTGGCAGAGATGGCCTGGAAGGTGTCCACTGAGATAAGGGAGGGAGAACAGATTAAGGCAGTGGGGGTTGGTAGGGGCCAGGCTCCAGTGGACAGAGATGGGAGCAGGTGAGTGTAGACGGCTATCGTAGATCCCGGTAAGGGGTGGTACCCAGAGAGTGTGAAGGAAGGGCAGAGCCCAGGAATGAACTTGCAGCGGGTGTGGAATGGCTGAAGATCTGGAAGGTGAAGGCGATGGACAGGATTAAGTCTTGGGGTCCTGAGACAGGGCTCCCTCTCTAAGTCATGAAAAGCCCAGAGGTAGGCTCAAGAGGAGGAGGAGAAGGGGCAGGGGCCACAGGCAGCCATCCTTAATCCAGTGCCACCCTTTCCTTTGCAATCCTGGGGCAGAGGGAAGGGAACCCTCCCTAAGGGTTATACCCTCATTAGACTCTAATGAGAGCCTAAGTCTGGCACTTTAGAGGTGACAAAGCACTTTTGCTTCCCATGTAGGCAGAATTCTAAATATGGCCCCCAAGATTTCCATCCAAACCCCTGAACGTGATGAGACATCAAGCCCCCAATCCTGTGAAATTATATGGCAAAGGGATTTCAAAAACATCATTAAGGACAGAAATCAGTTGACTCTAAGTCCAAGAAAAGAAAGATGAGCTGGTAGGGGCCTAATCTAATCACACGAACCCTTTAGAAGCAGAGGGTTTTCTCTGGCTGGGGGCAGGAGAGGAGGTCACAGATGTGAAGTGTGAGGGAGGGTTCGATGCATCTTTGATGACTTGAGAAGGTGGGGACCATGTGGAAAGGACCCGAGAGAGAGCAGCTTCGAGGAGCTGATAGGGATCCCTGGCTGACTGCCACCTCAGTCCTGCAACTGCAGGAGTGGAATTCCGTCACAACCCGAGTGAGCTTGCAAGGAGATGCTCTCCCAGAGCTTCTGGAAAAGAGCTTCTAATAGGAGCCAGCCAGCCCACACTTTGATTTTTAGCTTGTGAGACCCTGAGCAGAGACTACAGCTGAGCCCACCTAGACTTCTGACCTGAAGTGTGAAATAAGAAATGGGTAGTGTTTAAGCTGCTAACTTTGTAATAATTTGTGATTCAGCAATAGAAAATGAATATACTCCACTTTCTCATTTCACCCTAAGAAGGTCTTTGGGAAGCATCTGATGACTCTCCCTTTGCAGATGGGACAGGCTAAATAAGGCCCTCAGTTTACAGGTACCCGGCTGGGGCTCAGGGCTAAGCCTAGCTGATTTTTTGGCATCACAAACACTTTTCCCACCTGAACGGCCACAAAGGAACCACAGGCACTCAGCCTTGGCCAGGAGCACCAGAGGTGGGGGACCCGCTTCTCACACTCCCCTTTCTAAGATGCACCCTAGCAGATGTGAACCTGCTGGAGCCTGCGGGGTGCAAAGCCATCCCAGTCCCGCCACCTCCCTGGAGAAGAGCAGAGCTCTTGGCAGAAACCAGAGAAGGGCAGTGACCTCAGCCTCCCCCTTCCTCTCAGATGACAAGTCTGGGCTCTGTTAAGGCAAGAGACAGGAACTGAGATCCAAGGAGCCGTGAGGTTCGGCTTCCCCTCCTCCACATCTAGTAAAAAGCATTCTCTGACTTGTTGGGATGGGGATTTTTAAAATTTTATACTTGCTTTCTGAATCATTTGTTGGGCACAGTCGGGCATCTCCTGGGAGTCCAGAAATGTTTGCAGGGAGGGAGGTTTTGTTCCTGCTTTATTGATTAAAAAGCCCTAATAAAGGTTTTCTCATTCCTGCAGAGGCCTTTTCTAAAAACCTCCTTAATTCTTCCCAGATGGTGTCCAGTTCTCCCTCCCCAGCAGGGTGGGGCCTCAGAAAGTAGGAGGGCTTTGTGTCTGGCCGACTGGGGATCTCAGCTCTGTCACTTAGTCCCTGAGGGGTGCGTGGGGGCAGGCAACCTCCCCAAGCCTCAGTTTCTTCAGGAGTTTCTAAGATGCAATAAGCCAACAGATATGCACAAGGTACCTGGCAGGCAAGAAGGAGGCACTCACTATTGCTTCCTTACCCGCGTCCCTGACCACAACACAAGAACTACCTTGGACATATTTTTCCGACAAAAGAAAACAATTTTGATTCTCATCACAGGCAGGCCTGGTCGGCCAGCAGCAAGAATCTTCTGTCAGCAAAGTTTGCCTTTGTGCTCCACCTTCCCGAAGCTACTTCCTCTGTCTGTGTAGCATTTCCTTCTTTCCAGCCCTCCCTGGTCAGATCCTAGGCCCTGGGAAGGGGGACGCACTGGAAACCTCGGCAAGACTCTCTCAGTTCAGTGTTGCAGAGGGAGGGCAGGGTTGAATGGTGGAATCCCAGGCCCTGGGGCAGATGTGCCAGTGTGGGAATATTTTCGGGCAGGGGACGAGGATATTGCCAAGGTCCCTCCAGGTGTCTGTCGGGTGGGGACCAAAAGCAGTGGTTGTGGAAGCCTCTCTCCTGCTTGGGTTTCTCCTGACTGTGTATTTGCAGGTTTGGAGGTTTGAGCTAAATCCTCTTAGATGCGGCTTTTGCTGTCTTTGACATAGGAGAAAAATCTGCTTGACTTCAGCTTTTCAGAGTTTCCACGGTGAAGCCTGGGCTGAGCAGGTCCTGGGGGCAGAGTTTGGGAATGTGGGAGTGGTCATGTGTTTGTCAGGATGAGGGGTGAGAGGAGCTTCAGGGTCTGGGCCTCAGA